GAGGTGATGATTCGGGTTGATTATCTCCACTAATTGGGCCAGACGAGCAGCGGAGCCGTGGTCGGAACCTGCAGTCTCACCTCTCATTAAAATGATCTAATGATGAGTTTTTCAGCTGCTCTGACCAGAGGAGCAGGGGGCGCCGTCGGTCACTAGTTAGCAGCCTGTCCCTGTGGACATGCACCCTACAACTGTCTCCACCGCTGTTACACATCCGATACACACTCACAGCGGTGGGTGTCAAACTGCGAGTGTTAAAAAAATATGTGACATTATATGTCTTTTTTTTTTTTTTTTTTTTTTTCGACACAAAAGAGTGTATGAATTGTGGAGGTGGCGGACGCTAATTACTGTAGAAAACACTGTGAACGAAGAGAGGGAACTTTACTGACACTTTTGCTGACGGTCGCTGCTTCGTCCTCCGGTTTTTACACACGAAAAGGCCCTAAATGCAGATTTTTGGGTTTGTTCGTAAAAACGAAAAAAAAAAATCTTCAGAAAAACAAGTAAATGTGGAAGAAATGATCGTATGAAAAAGCTTGACTGAACTTAAACTGAACGGTTTTTCTTTAGATGAAATAGTTAAAATAAGAAAAGTTGAGTGACATCAGGCTCATCTATAGTCAAGGACAATAGTGCCGGGGGGGGGGGTGGGGGGGGTCAGATGATCAGGCTTGGACTGACGACGGTCCTGCTGTAAGTAAACACTGATTGATGATTTAACATTTCTGAATATTTGACCTAAAGATGGGAAACAAAAATACCTCTCCTGGAGTATTCTACTGGGACAGTGTGGTTTTTTTTTTTTTTCAAGGTGCTCAAATTCCAGCAGATTTTTCGACCTGTCACGTTCTCAGATTTTCCTCAGGTCTTTGTGCAGATCAGTCCCTAACGTTCACTCTGACCTTCTGGACATCGTCTCCCTCCGTTCCTGCCTGTGTGAGCAGCGACGGCTCGTCTGCTGTCAACACTGAAATAAGTTGTTGTTTTGTTGTTGTTGTCGTGGTGGTGGAAACACAGCTGGTCGACACAAACCCCGAACATGTTTTTAATTAAGCCACTGATTTTGAAAAAAAAAAAAAAAATTATTCAAATGTGTTTTTAATATTCATTCAAATGCTTGAGTTCAGTTCTGTTTACACTGCAGTACGATACAGTATTTATATAGAAGAAAAACAATTTCGTTGAAAAAAATTATTTATTTATTTTTCCTTTTTATTGACAATTGATGAAGCCCGCTGATGAAGTGAAGGTGGCAGCAGTGACCCTCGGCCCTGACCCCTGGTGGGGGCATTCATTTATTCACTCTCATCATGATAAATAAGTCGGCCTGTAGGGGCATCATAATAATGTTTCCATTGGCAAAAGACGGAGGAGGAGACGTAGAATTCTCTGGTTAGAAGTATTTAAAAAATGAGATTCTATACAGTAATAAATTCACACTTTAGTCCTTCTTTGTAAATCCATAAATGAAAATTAAAACCCGACGACTTTTTTTTATTTAGAGCAAAATAATTCGCTCCAACTTTTTTCTTTTTTTTTTTTTTTTTTGTTCGTTTCAACTGCTGTAAACTAATCCCTGTCCCGCCTTGATTTTTTTTTTTTTTGTTTTATTTGTGAGCGCCTCCTCTGACCTGCAGAACACGTGGCTCTGCGTCTGTGCCGCTGAACTCTGTCTGGGCTCAGTATTTATGAGATGGACTTTTATGCGCTCCATTCACATTAGAGAGGGAGGAAATGAAACTTCCTCATGTGGCAGACAGTGTGCAGCGTGTCGTCGTCTGCTGCTCTAATCCCTCATCTGCTCCACATTACCTGCAGCCCACCTAATCTTCAGATGTAGTTTCCGTCAGGTAGCATTAACAACACCCCACTGTGGCTGCTCCCTCTGTGTGTGCGTGTGTGTGTGTGTGTGTGCCACACCCCCCCCCCCCCCCTCCTACTCCTTTAACAGGCACCTTGTAATTTATGGTTGCAGTTCATCGATGGACGACTGGCCAAATTGAACGCAGGCCGCGGCTTCACTGACGTGTTTGAAGAGGAAATCACAGAGGGGGGCTTCTGTGGAAGTGAGTAGAGCCGCCCCACCCCACCCCCCCCCACACCATCAATTAGTCACTTTTTATTTATTCGCCATAATTTATGCAGCTGGCAGAAGTTATTGAACGACAGAATGTGAACAGAATAAGAGAAACTTTTAAAAGTCAGGAAGATTTTTAAAAGAAGACACGGCGTAAAAATCAGGTTGAACTCTCATAACAGTAAATCAGATTAAATTAAGAAAAAAAGAAAAAAAAAACGACAAAGTCTCAACCTGATGAATGGGTTAAAAGGCAAATAAATGTCTGGGTTTATTGTTGCCTTTTCTTACGTGTTTAAAGATCAAAAGCTTTTTGGTTTTTTTGAAACGTGTCCTCCACCACAGGAGCTGTTTAACATAAAAACCAAGACTGTCCTCTGACCCGCGGCTTTCATTTCTCCAGGCTTTTAAATATGGAACCCTTCATCCCACGTGGAAGAAAAAAAAAAAAAAAAAAAGCTTTTATTGTTTTTTATTCTCACATTAAAAATACACTGTGTTTTAATTCTTTATTCCTCACCTGCTTCAAAAAAAAAAAAAAAAAAAAACGCCTGTTAAAATCAGCGTGTCACAAATTGGTTTATTTATGTTTTCATATTTCATGTAAAGTGTCGTTCGGAGCCAAATCTTCCTTGGAGTTGCTAAAAAGGTGACGTGCACGTCTCACTGAAGGTGGCAAAAGACTGACAGAAGAATTAATCATGATTTGGCAGCCGTGAGCGTTATTAAAAGTGAAGACTGTGCATGAGATAACAGTACTTTTGAGTGTGCAAAACAAATCCCCCGGGAGCGCTCAGACAAATTAGGTCGGTTTGATCGTATCACCTCAGCTTTGTGTCGTATTTGCTCGACAGGAACAAAGAAATAACATCCAGATGCTGCGGCTAAACACACACACTCTGTAATCAGGCTTATCTATTCTGATCCTGACCACAACCCATAATGTCACCTGTGATTATTTTCTCTGTGCGTCCGTTCTGCCTCCGCAGAGTCACCGCTTCCAGGTGAATATCAGGATTATTTATTCCACTTATAAATATCTGATTATAGTCTGTGAAAGGGCACGGAAATCAACAGGAAAAAAAAAGAAGCTTAGGCTCAGGTTTACTCAGGTGATTTCACAGGACTGCGTAAACATGTGTCGATAAAATCGTTTTTTTTTTTTTTCTTGTAGTTGAAGTTTTCTGTCACTGTGTCGGGTTTGTTTTTGTTCAGTTTTGGGCTACAATGATTCACTCACATCATGTGGTTTTGTGATTCCAGGTAATTCCAGGTCTTATCAGCAGTGGATGCACACTGTAAAGGTACACACACACACACACACACACACACACACACACACACACACACACACACACACACAGGATGATCAGTGTGATTAAATAACCTTCAGTTTGATTCTTTATCCAAACCTCTAATAAATGCAGTCACTGTGAGACTAAAGCTGACAGATTTGATATGAAAGGAGGCTCCTCATTGGCTGTTCAGAGCAGTGCAAAAGTTTTAGGCTGGTGGATATGGACATTAATATAAATCAGCAGTTCACCTCCAATACTCAGTATAAACTACTGGCCTGTTTAGTTGAACTCAACCCTAATGTCGTCCACAGGAATTGAAGAAAGACATAGAAATATCTTCTTCCACAGCTCTCTCTGTCTCCCTTATCGTTTGTTAGCTTTTAACCAATAGAATTGCTCTTTGCTCTTTATCGTATCATTTGTGAATACGTTTTTTAAAAAGTGCGCCGACTTTTCAGGAAATGGACTTCCTCCCACTGCGGGGCCTTTTTTTCTTCGTTTTATTTGGCTGATATTTAATTGAAAGCGTGATTGACGCGCCGCCGTTTGAAGCCTCCAGAACGAAGCTAGCACTCGGTCTGAACGTACAGATCCGGCTCCAGTGCACTCTGCTGTGTGAAGTGGCGCGTGCAGCAGGACAGTGGAGGCAGACGGGGAGGGAGGGAGGGAGGGAGACAGAAGTGATTTGACGTGACAAGACGTCCTCCAACATGACATGTTGATCTGGCAGCCGACACAGGCGTTACTGCGCTGAACCCACCCCCACAACACAGAGCTCTCCCTCCTTCTGTCGCTTTCCTACTTCCCTTTCTCTTTTTTTTTTTTCCTCCTCTCCTCCTCTCTCATCTCTGTCACCCCCTCCTCCCTCCCCACTCACCGAGCAGCCCCTGCCTCCTCCTCCCCCCCCTCGCCCCACGCCTTCAGCTAAGGCTGAATTAGTTCTCTGGAGTGCTCTTCAAAGGTTTGTTAAAGTTCACATTTCCTGACTGACAAGGATCTATAAGAGGGGCCTTCACCTCGGCCCCTCTCCTTTTCTCCCACTGCCAACTTCTGAAACCGTGTCTGCCATTTACTCCGCTCGGCCGCTCGGCCGGCGCTTTGTGCTTCCACTGAGGAGCCAACACGGGGAAAAGGAGTGAGACGCAACTCAGAGACAGGAGACGAGCGCCGAGATCCAGTTCCATGATGTCATAATGTCTCGTCGGTCTCCTGGAGTTCTCTCTCCTGCCGTCCCCCCACGATGGGCCGTACACTCTGACCACTCTTTGAACGCAGTGGTTCAGGGGTTCAATTCCCGGAACCAGTGAACCGTTAAATGTCTTCTTTAAAAACGTCAAAACAACAAAATTGAATTTGATAAATCAAAGAGCTGATGAATTAATCACGATTAGTCATGATGTAGCGGTTAGCTTGACTCTCTCAGAAGCAGAGAGCAGAGAGTCCTGGGTTCGATTCCCAGAGGAACCACATGCTTGGCGCTTGCTAGAGGCAGCCTGTTAACAACATATCTGCTGCTAACACAACCATTTCCCAAATGTGGGATCAATATAGTGCAAGTTTTGATGAACCACGATTAATCGTGATTAATCATGATCAATTAACACTTGCAAATACATTTTAATTGTTAGGTTTGGGTTTTAAAAAAACATCATTTTAAGCAGCACTGAGTGCCAACTGTGACGTGGAGCTGTACTCCTCCAACAAGGTTTTTTTTTTATAATGTCAGCACTGAAATTAAATTAATTTTTTTTTTCTTCTGTTTTGGTTTTCTGCCCGACGACGTAACAGCTGCAGTCGTCTGAGTCTGTTTTCACATCAGATTATTATTCAAAAGTGAAACCAATTAATTAGAACTGCTGATAAACTGACTAACGTTAACCATTTACATAACTTAGCATCATCTCGGAGAACGAAGGTGCAGACCCACTGTCCTGATAATTGATTTCAACAAGTATGAAAGTACCTGACGAGGATCTTTCTTTTCTTTTTCTTTTCTTTTTTTCTTTTTATGGGAGCAGAGAGGAGGAGCTCTCATCAACACAGCTGTTACAAAGGTACGTTCTTCTCTGACTCGACATCACACTCATACCATAGTGTACTATAGTATTACTGCATTGGGCGAAGTAAACAACCAAAATAGTTGATAATCTCTGGGTTTATAATCCCGTCACTCGTTTGAAATGTTTTGTTTTTCTTTTTGTTTTTTTTTTTTGCCTTTGTTTTCTTAAAATGAGTGTGATCACCTCTCCTGACCAGGGTGTGTGTGTGTGTGTGTGTTTGGTGTGCTGCACCATGTTGTTGTGTGCCGTCCAATAGGTGCTCAGGCTGCCCTTTCATGTTAGCGCCTCCTGTTGGCGCCGGAGTCGTTCTCATTCAGCCTTTTGTCTCCGTGTTTTTGCCACAGAGATCAAAGAATTTCTTGATGTTACATGAAACCAGAACAGAATGTTAATGGGACGTGTTTTGATTACTAATGTGTGTGTGTGTGTGTGTGTGTGTGTGTGTGTGCTGTTTATCCACCCAGGCCAAGAGTCATGCCAAGAGGGGGATCCGGGACATTAAGGGCAGACTTAAAGCAAGGGTAAGGAGCACGGACCTTGACACACACCCCCCCCCCTCCCCTCCTTACCCCCTCCCCTCCACACACACATAATTTAAATCTGCACAAATACACATTCCGTCAGAGACGCAAACTGTAGAGCGCCTCCTACGTGTAGAGTGCGGTTGCGATGCCGCGGCCCTTGATGACTGCTGAAGCTGAAGCGCTTTGTTCAGTCCGTACAGTTTTAAGCAGCGCCCCTCTGGCGATTGCCTGGCATGTCATCTGCGCCGCAGCGG